ATATATATATATATATAAACAAACACCATAATGTCATCTTAGCAAGATTTGATACAAGGTCAATGGAAAACACAAAGATAAACAAGTGATACGTATCTAAGAATGACTGTTGTTAGCAAATCTTGTTCTGACTTTAATCATTCTATCTGCAGATGAACAGCATGTCATGAAAACTTAGGTCATTAAAGGATGTCATGAATTACTTGCTTAAACATAAAAGTATTAGGTCCATTACAATCCCATATGTGGTCTCCATCAAATTTATTAGTGATGCAGGTTTGTTTATACAGATTAACCTCTGTTCCCTGCCCACAATAACATATGAGCAGAAACTACGTAATAAGTCTATTTTAATGCTGCGCTCCAGCTGCAGCGGAACTTGAAGTTGTGAATAAAAAAGCTTTTCTATTTCTTGCTCTGAAGTAGGGACGTTAACATTTCATCAGCAGCTGCTGCCACTTTCATCCCAAACTGCTGTGATCAGATTGTGTAAAGTGCGTCTGCTTGTTATCTCCTCCAGCTTCGTTATTTCTACGAGTTTCAACAAAGCGTGCCGACGTCAGGTAGTTAGSTACAGCCTCGTCTTTGAGTTTTTAATTTTTGTTGATGCGTTTTGAAGAGAATTTTTTTTAAATAGGATGAAAGTAAATCACAGAGTTTTTCTAGTGACATAGTCATTGGTTGAGGAGCTTTGTTTACAAAACAGATATCTACATGGTTTTTAAATTGTTTTCATTTACTTACTTCCTACGACAGATTAAGTTGATTTGAGGCTGCAGTTTACCTTGTAATATTATTTTATACATTTTCTGCTATTTTTGCATTGGCTATTATTAAGTTTTATTAGTTTTTAGGATACAAGATGCTTCCTACAAAAACCAGAATGTGAATCTTTTCCTAAAATTTCATGGCGATGTCTTGAACAGTGAGGAAGTTATGAGCAAAAATAGAAAACAACAAGGTGAAATGATCACATTGGTTCTGCTGTGAACTCCAGCAAGAAAACAAGCTGATTTCAACTAAACAAACATCAATAACTTCCCTCAAACCTGAGATAACCACATGATTTTTGTGATATTTTGTAGGTTTTTAATGTTCTTTTGTAATCTGCTGTCAGATTTAATATCGTGTGGGATTTAAAAATGTGTCCACATCCTTATCTGAAGTAATAACGCAACAACAACAGCGCCCTACACCATTAGGGGTCGTTTCAGTTGATATTTTCGACTCGGAAGCTCGAAATTCCGACCTCCGAGTGGAACTAAAACGCACCATAAATGCAAATAGAACCGCTTTGTTTACATCGAGTGCATACCTGCATTTCAGAATTTACAAATCAATAAATATGGAAAACAACCCTTTCAAACTGCTCGGGATAACCTTGTTTTGATGTTCGACTTCATTCGCCCACATTAGTTGTGTTTATTTTGAACAGCTGCTAACAGAGGATGAAGGGGATTCCTGCCACTGAAATGCCTCGGACGGCATCCATCATGTCGCTGTATTTATAGACGGTTCTGGTGCTATAAGCRGACACGCATTCCGTGAATTCGATCAAACATTTAATTTTTTTTAAAAGTCCAATAAATAATGGCACGTACACGTTAAAGCTCTCTCTTCAAACTTTTGTTAGCTTATCATAACGATGGTAATATGCTTACAAGCCATAGGGGTAATTCTAAATAACAATGAGGCTGAAACTTTTACATTTTAGATTAACCAAATTATTAGAAGGTATCCTAAAATAATATGCAATGAAATGCATTTCGAACAAAACAGCAAATCGCTACATAGCGTTAGCATTAGCCACCTTGCTAGCAGCTAGCTAAGCCAGTGTTTGGGGAATGCGAGGCAGCGGGGAGACGAYCTGCCTCGCATAACTGTAAATGTGGGCGTTGTTCATCATTAAACATGATTTTATTTATMTTTTAATAAACGTGGTGTTTTGTAAACAATGCGGATAGTGGAAGTGTACAGTAGCGCAAACCGTGTTACCTGGGGACGCAGCTCGGGGARGATCGGTCTATCTCCCAGGTTGCGAAGAGGTTCATGGGCACGGGCATGCTACTGCCGGAGGAYCCCGAGCCCACGACCACAGCCCCGGCTAACGCTCCTCCGCCGGTCGGGGGCATCGTCGGCGCGGGTCCGCCGCTACCACCGCCGCCGCTCGGGTTCAGGAAAGCGGCCCGGACGCCTCCTCTCTCCACAGCCGCCGCCATCATCACCACGACCACTGCCTGGAAGCAGCTCTAGTTGAGTGTCGGACGAACGCGGGAGCCGCTGATCCCCTGCTCCGCTCGCTCCAGCTTCTCCGCTGTCCCTGCTCCCTCCACCGAACCGGGTTTACGATAGGCGGGGCGGGGCCTCTGCCAGCCGACAGGGGGCAGCACTGAGTCGAATAAGTCTAATTTTAAATAGGATACAAAGGCATTTGTTCAAGTACCCCTGGCTTTAAACAATTTATTACTGATGTCAAAATATTTCATTCATTGCTGTAAATGGAAAAAGGTAAAGCCTATCTTTAATGTATTTAAAAAACATCTTGTTGAACATTAATTGCTTTAAAACAAATGAAATGTAAGAATGCAAAGTCTCTATGGAATGGATTTGAAAATTTGAAAATATTTGMAAGACTTCTGATTGAAGTTGTATACAACTGTGTGAATGTGTATGATTTTTTTRCRTTTTMTTRATTTCTATTGTTTGCTCTGTTCTATCTTGTGCCTTGAAAATTTTATTTCACCTGTTTATTGTTGTTATATCCCTAAACATTTGTACACTTGAATTTATATTACAATAAAAAAAGTACCCCCGGCTGTGAATTACTCATGAGGAATTTTTCAGTTTTAATTTATGATTTTTAATTCCATATCCATTTTTGTACCTCTTATTCCAAACATGAGGCAACAAGTCCAAGGAGAAAAACCCTGACAGACCTCCCTCTCAACAAACTCAAGGCCTGTGGACCAAATGTGGCCCGCTACAGCCATTTATGTGGTCCGTGAGCACATCAAAAATACATGAATTAAATGTATTAAAATATAGAAAACTATATATTATTTATAGAAATATTATTTATAGAAAAATGTATTAAAACAMTTTTGATGTGCTCACGGGCCACATAAATTGCTCCGGGGGCCACAGTCCCTGCAGACCTGGCTCAGGTGCCGAACATCCAGCAGTTAGTCATTATGTAAATAAACCAAGTATTACAAAGATCTGTTACCTTTTAAATAGTTTATTTTGCTGCATTTAATCATGAATACAACATACAGAACCCTATGTAATAAATGTAGTGATAATAAAACAACAACAAAAACACAAATAACACATTCTACCTCCTATTTAATGCAAAAGTTATTGTGACATCTCTGACTTGCCAAATAATTAAACCAATTTTATTTTCATCAAAAAGAAAAAAAAATAAGTAGGTCCTCTGGATGGGTTCTTCTTTAG